TTGGCCACACTCTGTCTCCTGGTCTCTATGGGTGAGTGGTGCTTTAAGACCTTTCTCCAGACCCTGGATTGTTCCAGAACTAAACCTTCTTTTGATAGGTTAATGAGCAAGAATATTACCACATTGATAACCATCTGATTTGTCAGAATTTTCCGTCAGTATCTTTTGGGATGTAATTGATTTAGTCAATTTATAATCCTATCCTCACTAGAGTTGGCTCTGTGAAAAATTTAGAAGGTAAAATTTTTCTTTGGTGCACCTCAGTGCCTTCATCTGATATGTCAATAGTTTCCTCAACTATCCCCTGCCTCTTCCCTTTCCCCAACCTCTTCCATGCAATATTAAAACTTACCTACATCGTGCTTCGTATCTCAAGGTTTTACCAGATGACTACTTAGCTAATTTGGAATGCCTTTACCTAAGAAGGTATTGGTGACTAACAATGACTTGGAGCAGGGGTTCTCAAACTTTAGCATGCAAAGGAATCACCTGGAGGGCTGGTTATAACACAGAATGCTGGGCTCTCCCCTGGGAGGTCTGAGAAATTTACATTCCTAATAGGATCCAGAGAGATGCAGATGCCACTGGTCCAAGAACCTCACTTTAAAAGCCTCTGTCTTAATGATCTTATACGTAGAAAACCCCAAAGAATCCACAGAAAAACTATTAGAAATAATCAACAACTACAGCAAAGTAGCAGGGTATAAAATTAACGTGCATAAATCAGTAGCATTTCTATACACTAACAATAAACTAACAGAAAAAGAACTCAAGAACTCTATCCCATTCACAATCGCAACGAAAAGAATAAAATACCTTGGGATAAACTTAACCAAGGAAGTGAAGGATCTATACAATGAAAACTACAAGACTTTCTTGAAAGAAATAGGCGATGACATAAAGAGATGGAAAAACATTCCTTGTACATGGATTGGAAGAATAAACATAGTTAAAATGTCCATACTACCTAAAGCAATATACAGATTCAATGCTATCCCAATCAGAATCCCAAGAACATTCTTCACAGAAATTGAACAAACAATCCTAAAATTCATATGGGGGAACAAAAGACCGCGAATTGCTAAAGCAATCCTGAGCAAGAAAAACAAAGCCGGCGGAATCACAATCCCCGATTTCAAAACATACTACAAAGCTACAGTGATCAAAACAGCATGGTACTGGTACAAAAACAGGTCCACAGATCAATGGAACAGAATTGAAAGCCCAGAGATAAAACCACACATCTATGGACAGCTAATCTTCGACAAAGGAGCAGAGGGCCTACAATGGAGAAAAGAAAGTCTCTTCAACAAATGGTGCTGGAAAACTGGACAGCCACATGCAAAAGATTGAAAATTGACCATTCTTTTTCACCACACACCAAAATAAACTCAAAATGGATCAAAGACCTAAAGATTAGGCCTGAGACAATAAGTCTTTTGGAAGAGAATATAGGCAGTACACTCTTTGACATCAGTTTCAAAAGAATCTTTTCGGACACTGTAACTCCTCAGTTGAGGGAAACAATAGAAAGAATAAACAAATGGGACTTCATCAGACTAAAGAGCTTCTTCAAGGCAAGGGAAAACAGGATTGAAACAAAAAAACAGCTCACTAATTGGGAAAAAATATTTACAAGCCACTTATCCGACAAAGGGTTAATCTCCATAATATACAAAGAACTCACACTGCTTAACAACAAAAAAACAAACAACCCGATCAAAAAATGGGCAGAGGACATGAACAGACATTTCTCAAAAGAAGATATGAATATGGCCAATAGACACATGAAAAGATGTTCATCATCGCTAATCATCAGGGAAATGCAAATCAAAACTACACTAAGATATCACCTTACCCCCGTTAGATTGGCAAAAACATCCAAAACCAAGAACGACAAATGTTGGAGAGGTTGTGGAGAAAGAGGAACCCTCATACACTGTTGGTGGGAATGCAAACTGGTACAGCCACTATGGAAAACAGTATGGAGATTTCTCAAAAAGTTAAAAATAGAAATACCCTATGACCCAGCCATCCCATTACTGGGTATCTATCCTAAGAACCTGATAACAGATATCTCAAGAGTCCGTTGCACCCCTATGTTCATCGCAGCATTATTTACAATAGCCAAGATGTGGAACCAGCCTACATGCCCAGAAACTGATGATTGGATAAAGAAGATGTGGTATATATACACAATGGAATACTACTCAGCCATAAAAAAAGACGAAATTGGCCCATTCACAACAACGTGGATGGACCTCGAGGGCATTATGTTAAGCGAAATAAGTCAGTCAGAGAAAGACGATCTCTATATGACTCCACTCATAGGTGGAAATTAGTATATTGAGAAGGAGATCTGATCGGTGGTTACCAGGGAAAAGGGGGGGTGGGGGGAGGGTACGGAGGGGGAAGTGGTGTACCCACAACATGACTAACAAAAATGTACAACTGAAATCTCACAAGCTTGTAATCTATCATAACATTAATAAAAAAAAATAAATTAAAAAAAAAAAAAGCCTCTGTCTTAGAGTGTTGAACTCCTTGAGAAATGTGTTTGCAATTTAATGAATAACGCCACTGCTACTGATATCAAGAAATATACCTATAATACTACAGTATTCCTGAGTTCTGCAAATGTATACTCTAATAGCAGATGGGGTTTCCCACTATCAGACCAGGAATAAGGTGAAGGTATTCATTAGACAGATATCAGTGTGTGTATATGTGTGTAATATTATACATATATTAGAAAACATATAATATTATGCATATATGTAATATGTTATATAAATGTATATAAAATAACTCAAAGGTATCAACTCAACAAGATACTAACTACCAGACTATAATGGAAATATAACCCAAGGGGTCAGCCCCAAAATAGGGAGCCTAATCAAGGGAGTATGCTTATAAAGACCATATGCTTGGCTTTGAAAATGAATAAATTTCTCTTTTCCTTTACAATAATCATTTACTCCTTCATATCTATAACAAGGTGCTGATTCTTTCAAGAATGATGGGGTCTACTCCAGATATTTTACAGCTTATTCAGAAAATGGCAGATACAGCTTAAAAGTACGGGTTCATGGAGGAACAAATGCTGCCACACGAAGCATAAGGCATCCACTCAATAGAGCCGCATATATACCAGGCTGGGTAGTGGACGGTGAGTAACTCGTGGTATCTGAAATCCAGTGCTGGCTTGAATAACAGTGAGTCGATATAATTAAGGCTTCAGACATTTTGCAACTCAAAGGATAGCTCTTCCCATTTCTGGAATGAAGTTCTGTCATCCTGGGGTTTGCCTCCAAATTGACCTAAGCTTTAGTACAGTGTTTGGCATCCAGTAAGCACTCAATAAATGTCAGCCATTACTACGTTAGTTTGGAGCACCTTACCTATATCTACACTGATATGCCAAATTTTCAGCTCAGGATGAAGGAAAGAGTCTAATATATTATGTACCTAAATATAAGCCAGTGACAGAATTTATCCTTCAGATTACATACGCTGTAAAAGATACACAAATGAGTAAACATTTATTTGAAATATTTTAAGTCAAAAGAAAAACAATGTGTAGAGTAAGGTGATCATAAGGATTAAGAATGGATTCTTTGTTAACTTTCCTTTGCCTTGTCCCTTATCTTGAGACTTCTAGGGTCCTTCTGTTGGCAACTAGAATGTAACCTGACATATTACTCCTTAGCACTCGAAGCAGGGAGGGAGGGAGTGACCTGGCACAGGTGGTTGGAAGGGAACCAGTAACAATTTCCCCAAATTTCTTCCCAGCCTATAGATAATTTGAGAGACAAAACAATTCCTTTTTGTCAAAAAAGCATACATTGAATAATATTACATTATTCCCATTCAGTGCAGTCTTAATTCCAAAGCAGTTCGTTATCTGATTCCATCCAACAAAATGCTGGTCAGGATGCTAAAAAAGAATCCTCCCACCAATTGGATACTTATGACTTTGTCATCAAGCTTAATAAAATGTGACTGCACATATGAAAAAAGAAAAGGGAAAGATGAGATGTGGAATTCAAATCACTGAGCTCTGAAAATACTAGTAGAGATTTCCCCACTAAATGCCAGGAAATTTCTAATGCAGGGAAAATTGAAGGTAATCCACCAAGACCTAAAATTGATGAGGATACTCAGACACCCTTGGAGAGTTTCAGCAGAACAGCATCCGGAGGTGCATTTGTGGTTTCAAATGTTTCAAATCTTCCCTTGCCTGACCTGTACCCACCAAGTCAAATCACAGACCTTGAGGCCACCCGTGATGGGGACAATATCAGTCTAACATGGACAGCACCAGGAGATGACTTTGACGTTGGAAAAGGTAAGGACGAGGTGCCAGGTGCTGTTGATTAAGTTACAGGTGCTGGTTGCAAAAGCAAGAGTGTAAGGGGGGGTTGGAAAGGAACAATTTTTAACTGACAGCTGCTCAGTAAAGCATTAATTTTATAATCTGATAGTTTTGAAACAATCAAACAGGACACTTTTTAACTGGCCCCACCTTTCATACAAAGAAGTAGTATTTGGCAGAGTTTAAAAATCAGAATTCAGCTTTTATTGAAAAATTAAAAGCTATGAGTATAAGCTTTGCATAACTAAACAACATTTTGAGAAGAATGACTAAAAAGGAATTTAATACGGTATGCACTGGTTTCTAAACTAAATGTAACTTTTTTCCTTAGCTCAACAGTACATCATAAGAATAAATGGAAGTCTCCTGGATCTAAGAGACAATTTTGATGACGCTCTGCAAGTAAACACTACTGATCTGTTACCAAAGGAGGCCAACTCTGAGGAAACCTTTGCGTTTAAACCAGGAAACATCTCAGAAGAAAATGCAACCCACATATTCATTGCCATTCAAAGTGTGGATAAAAGCAATTTGACATCAAAAGTATCCAACATCGCACAAGTAGCTTTGTTTATTCCTGAAGCAGATTCCAGTCCTGATGAAACTCAGCCAAATCCCAGTCCCGGTGAAAATCTTCCTAATTCTGGAGTTAGCATTTCTTCTTTGGTGTTGTCAGTGGTTGGGTCTGTGGCGCTTGTTAGTATTATTTTAAGTACCGCTGTTTGCATCTTAAACAAGAAAAAAAATTCAAGAAGGCCTAGAACAGAGTTTTAAAAAACAACAACAAAAGTGAAAGATATTTCTAATTTTTTAAATTCATCCTGGTTAATCATGTACTCATAAAATTAATTTTAAGAATTCTAGAAAGGATACTTTGATTAAATATAAACATCCAGGACTATTTGAAAAACTGTAAGTCAATATTAAAGTTTAATAATTTTATTTACTCATTACTTTACTTATCATAAAAAGCAATGAATAAAGATCCTTTTTCATACTGCTACCTGGTTCTGTATTATTTGATGTAAAAGTCTTCTAGAATGATAATTAAAATTTTGTCAAGAAGTTAAAGTTGTCTATTTCATTAGTCAAAATAGAAGTATAATAAAGCAAATAACAATATTTGAAAAAAATGAATTTGGTCTTGGTACTTTGAGGTATAAATTGATGTTATTATGGGGGCTGGCCCCGTGGCCGAGTGGTTAAGTTCACATTCTCCGTTGCAGGCGGCCCAGTGTTTTGTTGGTTCGAATCCTGGGCGTGGACATGGCACTGCTCATCAAACCATGCTGAGGCAGCGTCCCACATGCCACAACTAGAAGGACCCACAACGAAGAATATACAACTATATACCGGGGGGCTTTGGGGAGAAAAAGGAAAAAAATAATAAAATCTTTAAAAAAAAATTGATGTTATTATGTTCACTCAAATATGGCAACCATATACTACTGTATACAACATGAATAAGGTCATGTTAACTGCAATTCATCGATAGGGAAGATACTAGCAAAAAAATCAGTTACCACCTGTCAAACCAGAGATTTTCCTTATTTCAGTTCAATATAATTATATAGTATATATATTTATATATATATATGTATTTCAGTTCTATATATATATATATATATATATATATATATATATATCCCTTTTCACTTAAAAAACAAACCCACTTGTGTATATTTTCTTTCATTAATGGAAAGAATTATTGAAACTACTATCTATTGCCCTGTTTTCAGATACAGAAAGAAAACTAAAATTTTGAAAATGTAATATTTTAATTATCACCCAGAGTCACAGCCTAAAAGTCACAACCATAGTAAGGAATGAGGTTAATTAAAGGGAGAATGTAAGTTGGGAAGAGCAAGTTCACATGGTAGGCTATGACGAGGCCTAACAGAGATCCCAATGATGCAAACAGAATAGAACAAAGATCATGTAACTATGGCCTACCAGGTGCCACAAGAACTTCCACTCATGAGAGTAGGCAGACTTTGAAGCCCAAGTTTATAAGCATATGGTTACGTTGTTTCTCCAACAGGTGGTTTTCTCTCTTTGCACAGGGAGTTTTATAGCATAATTTAGCTCCCTGAGAAACAGGAGAGACTCTGAAGATCAGCATCCATCATGGCATCCTCATCTCCTGCAGCCTTGGCAGGAATTATTTGTTGGTTTGGAAGTAAACCAAAATGAGAGCCATGTCAGCTGAGTTCAGGAGTAACTTTTAACAATCTTTAAACATAGACCAGAATTTTTGACCTGACATAATTAAATTCATATGATTAGCAGGGTTGATAGAAAGGACCTTGTGGTTTAAATGGGAAAGGCAAAGAAGAAAGGAAGAGGAAATAATCAGGAGACCCACGACTACTGGGAAGGTTTGATTTACTCTCAGCATTCATTGGTAAATTGAGCTGTGCAGTAGGGCATCTGGAGACTGTGTTATTGAGGCAAAGATCTATTAGCACTATTAGTTCCTCCAGTGGGCAGGCAGCTACTTGGCCAGTGCATAGCCATTAGGCTACGGATGTACAGGTGAATACAGAGAAAATGTAGGAAAGATGTAAATGTAGGAGACCTGGCCTTTTACCAAGAGGGTAATAAAAGCCTGAAATTCTGTGTTGGCAACAGAAATAATATACAACAGGCAAATTTTCTCTGGGTCCTTCCAAACCACCCACCCCACAGCTCTGCAAGCAAAGCCCACCAGCCTGGTTATTACCCTTCCTGATGCTTCAGTACAATAGCTAAGCTCAGGTAGGCCTCAGTAGTGGGCTCTCTCTTCCCAAGTTAGGCCCTAGTTTAGTTCTATTTCTATATCTGCATCAGTAGCTAATTGTTAATTAGTAAGAATCAGAAAAATAACTGAATGATTACCATTGTTGTAGTCAGGACAGGCTATATAATTTACAGGGTCCAGGGTAAAATGAAAATGAGGGGCCCCTGTTCAGGGGCTAGCCCAGTGGTGCAGCGGTTAAGTTCGCACTTTCCACTTTGGTGGCCTGGGGTTCACCGGTTCAGATCCCAGGTGCAGACATGGCACCACTTGGCACACCTTGCTGTGGTAGGTGTCGCACATAGAAAGTAAAGGAAGATGGGCACGGATGTTAGCTCAGAGCCAGTCTTCCTCAGCAAAAAGAGGAGGATTGGCAGCAGTTAGCTCAAGGCTAATCTTCCTCAAAAAAAAAAAAAAGAAAGAAAATGAGGGGCCCCTGTTCAAAAATTAAGAATTTCAAGACAGCAACAGCAAAGTGTTGAACCAGACCCAGGCTCTGTGCGAGTGCACAGTCTCATGCCCACAAAGCCTGCCCTGGCTGTATTCTAGGATAAACCAGTGACAGCACTGATACCGACCCTGATATTGGTTTCCTTACATTAAACCCACCATATATGGGGTTAAAACAAAAACATTCATTCCCTGTTTACTCTCTGTCTTCCTGGCTCCAGAATCCACTATCCTCCACGGAGACAGACACAGACAAGGACAAGCACCTGGATTCATTATCTCCTCCCCACAAAGAGATACAGGCTGGAGGGAAAGCTGCTGACCAGCAAGGTCATGGGCTCCTGCCTCTCTGCAAGTAGTCTCAAGGCCAAAGACAGGCTGGTGGGGAAGCTCCAACCAGCAAGGTCAAATCTCCCCCTCCCCTCCCTAAAACCCCAAATAAAAACCCTTCCTTTTAGCTTTTTGGGGAGTTTGGGATTTCAGCGTTATCTGCCCTCTCTCCTTGCCCAGTGCTATGCAATAATAAAATTCCTACTTTCTCCCACCACACCCAGTGTCAGAGATTGCTTGCTGTGCAACGGGTGAGTGAACTTACTTCAGGTTCGATATCAGCACCAGTAGTACAAAATCTTTGCATGGGCTTTCCCTTACAGACACGTGGCAATATTCATGGTCTAATAGTGATCTAGTTAATCACGAAAAAGTGCCAGGTTTGGAAAGGGAACCTTAGGGCCATCACTTCTGGCAGGGAATCTAGACACAGAAAATAATTCTAAGCTGTCCCAGTAAAGGAAGAGAGGCAGCCCTATGTGGAGGAGGAAAGTACCTTAACAACTCCAGAGACTCAGATGATTGTAGGACTCCTCAAAGGAAAAAAGCCCATACCACCAGCCATGCAACTGGCTGCTGCCCCTGGAGGTGATGAGTCAGCAGTGTCATAAATGAAACACGTGCCTGCAGGGGTCTGTCCAAGCTGCAGTACTGAGGGGAGGTATACATTCCTAATCTCAGCTGTTCAGTCAGGACCAAGAGAACTACCTTCCTATGCTCCTATTCATGCTCCTTGTAATGGCTGATGTTGCAGGCCAGAGTGACCTAATAAATCATGTGTAAATGGTGGGACCCAAAACACAGTGCCTGATGAACACACAATATGATATCAGTATAAAATGGGACCAGGAAGAGCATAGCTCAAAGTAACAGTGAAGTGAGCCAGGCCTATTGTAGGCCAGACAGAAAAGTGTGTAGCTAGTCTACAAATGATTTCTAAAGATCCACAACTCCTTTTATTATTATTACCATACAACATGGCCTTGTGTGGTCGCCCGCCTCCCACATTGGATCTGGGCTGGTCCAATGACTTGCTTTAATTAATAAGATGTAGCAGAAATGATGAAAGCTTCCATTTTTGTGTTCTTGGGAACCCTGAGTATCCATGTACAAAATTCAGATAGCGATGGACAGACTACTGAAGAAGTTCTGAGACCATATGGAGAATGGAAGAGGCCTATCTCTGCTTCCCAGTCAACCCTCAGACGATTCCATTTGCAGTCACCAGACTTCAACATGACCAAAACAAGAACTTCCCAAGTCCAGTCAACCAACAGAATCTTGGAGAAAATAAAATGGCCATTTTTAACCATTTTTCAAATGGTTTGGTCCACAGTGCTAGATTACTGAAATTATCGATAATCATATCAGTCAGGGTTCCATGAGGGAAACAGAACCACTATGAACATTACAGAACAGGGTATTTATTATAGGATTTAAGGCAGGGAGGTAAAAAACGAAGAAAGGAGTTGGAGGATCAGAAAAAAGTTACTAACGAGCCTCCCAGAAGCACTGGTATTGGTGCTGGGTGTTTGATGTTGGAAGCTAAGCAAGAACAAGAACTGCAGTGGGACTGTGAAGGGGGCTGGTGTAGAAATCTCTGGAAGACTGTTGCTTCTGCATAGCTACCACCTCTGTAGTTCGTTGCCAAGCGTCTCATGATGGGTCTGGGATCATTATAGGTCAGCAAGGCCAGCATTCAGGAAGAAGAGTTGGACATGCAGTAAGAGAAGAACAAGGATACCAGTTCATCTGCATCTGTTTCTTACTGCCTCCTATCATCTCACATTCAGACAGTTAAGGCCGCTGTTTTACTTCTGCCTTCCAAATTTCAAGCAAATATCTCTATTAACCAATTTTAATCCAGAATCATACGTCTGGGAGATGTAGTTCTAATCTATCCCAGTTGCCTCAGCAAAGCCACCACAAGCATGGAAGTATGCAACGGTGACTTACTGTGGCATAGCAAGGAGTTTTTTTTTTTTTTTTCAAGATTGGCACCTGAGCTAACAACTGTTGCCAGTCTTTTTTTTTTTTCTTTTTTTAGCTTTATCTCCCCAAATCCCCCCGGTAGATAGTTGTATATCTTAGTTGCAGGTCCTTCTAGTTGTGACATGTGGGATGCCGCCTCAACGTGACCTGGCGAGCGGTGCCATGTCCACGCCCAGGATTCAAACCGCCAAAACCCTGGGCCGCCACAG